CTCCATAAGCAACATTGCTAATGTCTCCTAATCTACCTTTTCCTCTACATTAGAAGCAGATTACCTATTGAGACTGAGACACATTGGGCACCAGCTATAAGTTTTCATTTTTCTTATCCTACTTTTAATGATGGTTCTTAAATATTTTAGCCTGCCTTCTAGCCTACCACCCAGAAGTAGTAGTAGAAAAGAAAGGATAAGTGGGAAGTGGACCTGTTTAGAAATTGTTCTTTAGAGTAAATCATATCTGCTTTGTCAGGAAATCAGTTCAGTTAAAAACTCAGGATCATCAGCCCAATGCACTCACAAACACTTCATAAATGTACCAGCAGTCCAGTTCAGTAATATTGGGATAGTAGCAGTAGTGGCACAAACTAGCAGAAACAGTCAGGTCTCAGAAAAATCTGCACAACTGAGAAGGAGGGATTCAGTTCAGCAGGGACACTAGGAGAAGTTCTCCACCATGCCTCTCTCAATGAACCAAAGGTTATCAAAGACTTGAAACCAAGAAGTGTTGCAGAGCTAGCTCTACCTGTAAGCCCCTCTCACAATCAGTTGAGTCCTATTTTTACTCCCTCCAAACATCAAATGTCCTCCATGAGTCTTACCTCACCACATATCTTGCCTCAGCATGTGAGTCTGACTTAGCAAAAGTCCATGTGTATATCAGTGGACATCTCTCTGCCAATCATTCCAAGTCCACAGAAGAAGCAAGAAGCAGTAACACCATTAGAAGGTTTCGGTGTGTTTCTCTCTATGGAGTCTTAGCAAATGGGACTCAACTATGCCATATAAGGCAGACCAATACATGAGTGTCATTAGAGGAGAATCTTTCATCATACATCTTTTCATGGACTTGCTTTCACAGAACAACCTTTCACCTGTGTCTGCTTTAGTCAAACATTCCTTCATGAGTCTGCCTTAGAGAAACATCCTTTCACCTATATCCACTTTGGGAAAAATTCCTTCACATGTATTTCCCAGCAAAATGTTATCCAACACAGCTGATTATCCAAAGAACCAGAGAAGTTTCCACTTTAGGTTTGCCTTTCTTGTTAATTTTCAAAAAAAAAAAAAACCAGCTTTTTTTCATTGACTTTCTATAGTTCATTGTTTCTGTTTGATTGATTTTATCTCTCAGTTTGCTCATTTTGTACTCTCTATTTCTCTTGGGTGTGCTTACTTATTTTTGTTCTGGTGATCTTACCTTGCTGTTAAGTTGCTAGTATAAGATCTTTCTAACTTTTTAATGTAGACACCTAATGGTATGAAATTTCTGCTTAGCACTGTTTCAATGTGTCCCATAAGTTTGGGTATGCTGTGTATTGGTTTTCATTGAATCCTAAACAGTTTTTAATTTTTCTCTTTTGACACATTCTCCACTCAGTCAGGAGCTGTTGAGTTTGCATGAATTTGTAAGCTTTCTGTTGTTTCTGTTGGTGTTAACATTTAGATTGACTCCATAGCAGTCTGAAAGGATGCAGGGAGTTATTTCAATTTTCTTGTGTCTTTTGAGACTTGATTTCTGTCAGAGTATGTGACCAATTTTGTTAAAGTACCATGATGTGTAGAGAAGATGATATACTCTTTTGTGTTATAGTAAAATGTATTGTAGATATCTATTAGCTCAAGTATTTCTTTGTTTAAATTTTGCTAAACAAAATTAATAGAATGACCTGCCTATTGTAAGAGTGAAGTTATATTCTTTTGTTTTAGGATGAAATGTTCTATAGACATCTGTTAAGACCACTTGGCCCATCACTTCTATAGTTTTACTGTGTCTGTGTATCCAACTTTGAGTGTGAGGGTCAATATGTGATTTAAGTTGTATTAGTGTTTCTTATACAGACATGAAGTCCATGGTGTTTGGAGTCAAGATCTTAAGAACTGAAATGTCATCTTGTTGGATTCTTTTTTAAAAGAGTATGTAATCTCTTTCTTTCAACAGATCATCATTCATTAAGAGTCTCACAATGCTTGGAAGAAGACAAGGATTAAGAATTGCTAGAGACTTTTCTTTTAAAAAATTAGAGTTGGTACCTTGTACAAAATGGAGTTTTTCTTAGCCATCCCATAGAATGAAGCATGAATATTGCATTTGTGGGAGAAAGAACACACAAGCTCTGTTTTGTGACCAATTATATGATCAGTTTTGCAGAAGATACCATGAGGAACTCCGAAGAAATTATATTCTTTTGTTTTAGGATGAAATGTTCTATAGACATCTGTTAAGACCATCATTTCTGTTAGTTTTACTGTGTCTCTGTTTAGTTTCTGTTTTTATGCTCTATCTACTGATGAGAGTGGGATGCTGAAGTCTCCCACTATTATTGTGTAAGGTGTAAGGTGTGCTTTGAGCTTTAGTTAAGTTTCTTTTATGAATGTGAGTGCCCTTGCATTTGGAGTGTAGATGTTCAGAATTGGGAATATTTCTTGGTAAATTTTTCCTTTGACAAGTATGAAGTGTCCTTCCTTATTCTTTTTGATAAATTTTGGTTGACAGTTGATTTTGTTAAGTATTAGAATGTCTACTCCAGCTTGTTTCTTGGGACCGTTTGCTTGGAACATTGTTTTCTAGCCCTTTACTCTGAGGTAGTGTCTGTCTTTGACACTGTGGTATGTTTACTGTATGCAGCAAAATGCTGGATCCTTTTTATGTATTCAGTCTGCTAGTCTATGTCTTTTTATTGGGGAATTGAGTATATTGATGTCAAGAGATATTAAGGAATAATGAGTGTTGCTTCCTGTTATTTTTATTGTTAGAGGTAGAATTATGTATGTGTCGCTATTATCTTTTAGGTCTGCTGAAATAAGATTACTTTCTTGTCTTTTCTAGGGTGTGGTTGCCCAGGTGTTTTGGAGTTTTCTATCTATTATCCTTTGTAGGGCTGAATTTGCAGAAAGATACTGTATAAATTTGGTTTTGTCATAGAATATTGTGGTTTCTCCATCTATGGTAATTCAGAGTTTTCCAGAATATATTAGCCTGGGCTGGCATTTGTATTCTCTTAGGGTCTGTATGACATCTACTCAGTATCTTATAGCTTTCCTAGTCTCTAGTGAGAAGTCTAGTGTAATTCTGATAGGACTGCTTTTATTTATTTTATTTGCAGCGGGACATTTCAGGGGCCTCTTTCTTCTCCCCCTCCCATTTCTCTCGGCTGTGGGTCAGCTGGTCATGCGCCCAAATGCTCCCAATCTCAGTCCTTCCACGGCCTCTCAGCAGAGTCTGAGAGCACAAGGGCTTGAGACCAGTCAGCCCCCGGCCACCTCCTGGCCTGGGGATCCACAATCCAACAGTTCTGTGCCCCAGTGGAGCTTCACATTGAGTGAGAACTCCCCCCACAGTGTGCAGAGTGGACTCTATAAAGAATCCAATGCTCCAGTCTCTTTGGAGCCATGGGAATCACAACAGCCCAACAAGAATCAAGAACCCACGCCTGTGCCTATGCAGGGTTGTCTCCTTTTGTGATTTCTTTATTGATTCTACTTCCAACTTTATATCCTGGATGGTTTTGTTCAATTCCTTCACCTGTTTGGTGGTGTTTTCCTGTAATTCTTTAAGGGATTTTTGTTGTTCCTTTTTAAAGGCTTCTACCTGTTTACCTGTGTTCTCCTGTATTTCTTTAAGGGAATTATTTATGTCCTTCTTAAAGTCCTCTATTATCATCATAAGATGTGACTTTTAATCAGAGTCTTGCCTTTCTGGTATGCTGGGGTATCCAGGTATCCCTGTGGTGGGAGATCTGGGTTCCAATGATGCCAAGTAGCCTTGGTTTCGGTTGCTTATGGTTTTGCCTTTGCCTCTCACCATATGAATACCTCTGGTGTTAGCTGCTCTTGCTGTCTCTAACTGTGCCTTCTCCCTCCTGCTAACTTTTGTGTTAGTACTCCTGGGAGACCAGTTCTCTCTGGGATAAATTTGGGTACAGTGAGCTGCGGCATAGGGTTAACTCCCAGGTGCAGGCAGAAACCTGGGGGATCATTTTCCCTGCTGTTCCTTGGTTCCTGTGTCCTGATGACTCTGTATTGGTCCCACTTGGGACAGGAATTTGAGCAGAAGTGGTGGTATTACCTGTGGCAGCACTCCTGTCAGACCAGCACTCTCCCCACTGTATTAAGGTATGGAGCACTGTGGCACAGGATCAATTCTGGGCCCTGTGGCACAGGATCAGCTGCAGGCACAGAATAGAAACCAGAAGCCATTTCAATTATTATAAGACAGAAAAACAAACTTAATTCTGATGATACCAAATCTTGTTTACCATTAGTGTAGTGTAGTAGAGAATGAGATATCACAGTCCCCACATTTGGAAAGTAGATGAGAAGACAGCAGAGGCAGGTGAAATAGGATTAGGAAACATAGATCGGTTATATTGGTTAAAATGTTAAAAGTCATAATTTCTCTGATATTTGCAACCTATATTTTATAGATTCACAAAATTCTGTGTATGCATGTGTATGTGTATATAGATGTGAATGGGCATATGTGTATGAATGCGAGTGGGCACTTGTGTATATCACATGTACATAGGTGGAAGAGTACAGGTTGGAGGACATTAGTTGTAGGGAAAAAGTGTGTCAGAAAGGAGAAACAGAGGGGATGAAGACTGTCAAAATGTACCATATAATTTTTATATACTTTTATGGAAATCAATATACATATGCAAATAAAGAAATTTTGCCCAAAAGAGAACTGGAGGGAAATTGCCAGGGTTCAAAAGTAAGGGAGACTTCTCACAGCTGAGAAAAGCAGAAGCCAAATTCTCTTTTGTATCCTCCAGTAGGAATATAGGCTGACAGGCTGTTGATTTAGCCCATTGGAATTTTCCTCTCTAGAATATAAAATGATCAGTTTATCATTCAAACAGAATTTGTGCATAAGAAATTAAAATAAAGCAAACACAAATATCTTTATTTCCTTTTGCCATAAAGACTTTGCAATTCTAAGGATCAAAATGGTCATTTGTTCACAAATTTACAGCCATATTTTTCATCAGTTAGACAAGCATAGCAGTTCTCAGGCAGAAGAGAAGTATGCATGTCAAAGGCTGTGTGGTGCAGGTAGCTGATGAGAACCTAAAGGAGGTTTGTGTAGGAGGCTGTAGCACTGTGGGAGGATTTCTGTAGTATTCCTGACAGTAATGATCTACTAGGTCTTGAGCCTGCACACTGTTGATGGTGAAAGTAAAATCTGTCCCAGATCCATTGCCTGTGAAGTGATCAGGGACCCCAGTGTACCGGTTCGATGCCCTGTATATAAGCATTTTAGGATACTGCCCTGGTTTCTGTTGATACCATGCTACATAACTAAGTACATTCTCACTGGCCTTGCAGCTCGTGGTGGCCTTGTCTCCTACTGATGTGGACATGGAGTTAGGAGACTGGGTCATCACAATGTCTCCATTGGCACCTGTAATCAGAAATAAATAATGAATATGCATATATACACACAGAGATTTCCTGATACGATTGTTGGAATCCAAAATGACTTTTGTAATTGCATTATCTAAATACTACTGGCTCTCAATAGGAAATAGCTAATTCTCCAAAAATGAATTACTTTTAAGATATTTTAATACTTTTAAACATCTTACCATACAAATAGAACAGAAAAAATAAGAAGATCTGAGTCTGTGATTCCATCTTGACGCCCATGCTTGTCAGATGCATTTCAGATCTCACTGCAAAGGCCTGGTTTATAAATCATGGGCAGCTGGACTGGCATCTAGGGACCTATGTGAAATAGTCATCAAATAAGAAAGTAAATTAACTGGACAAAGGGTTGTGAGAGTATCCTGGTTAAATCAGTAGCCAGAAATACCACCAAACACAGTAAGCAATCACTGGGGAAAAAGTCAACACAGAAGCTCAAAAACCAACTTAGAACACTAGATTCTCTTATGACAGGCTTCCATTAAACTCAAAGCAATTTATAACAGGTGAGATTTTCAGAAATAATACAAGAACTACTTTGATTCAATCATGAGGAAAAATAAATATGTGAGAGAGAAGTTTGAAAGAAAAAAGTAAAAAGAAAAGCAGAAAGGAAGGCAAAAAGGATGAAAGAAGGTAGAGGATGGAGAAGAGGAGAGGAAATTTGGGATTGGGGAGGTAAGGGAAAATGTGGAGAGGAGAAAATGAGTGGAGTATAAAAAGGATAAATAGTTTTTTAAAAGGAAGAAAGGAAGGAAGGAATAAGGAAGACAGAAAGGAAGAAAGGAAGGAAGGAAGAAAGGGAGGGAGGAAGGAAGAAAGAAAGAAAGAAAGAAAGAAAGAAAGAAAGAAAGAAAGAAAAAAGAAAGTGTTTTGGGGTAGAGAGTCAGCTCAGTGGTTAAGATCAATTACTTCTCTTGTAAAAACACTCAGATTTGACTCACTCCAAGCATTCTATGATGATTCTTACCCATCTATAATTTCAGTTAAGCACACACAAAGTACACCTACTTACGTACATATGTACATACATACATACATACATACATACATACATACAGTTTGAGAAGTAAGCCCTGAGCTTCTGTTCCAGCTACCAAGTTTTCTACCTGATGCCTTCTTTCCATTTTCATACAGTCTAACCTTCGGAGATGCCAACGGAATCCTTTCTTTATAAGTTCATGTTATTTATCACAACAATAGAAAAGTAAGTAAAAGAAAGGAATCAGGGGATATTATAACTGTAGAAAGATATACACAGAGCATGAACAATGGTATGAGTTCTATAATACTGTCATTGTCATACCTTACTGAATCCATCTACTCCAAAACCAGTTGATCAGTTTGTTTTTAAAGAATACATATAAAGCATTAATCACCATTTTGTTTACATGGAGTCTTGAATTTTCCCTTTATAAATATTAAATTTACTCATGAATATGAGTTGGAGGCCTGAACGATAGTATCTCTCAACACAAAATCATACATCTTTAGCAAGGAGTGATGTTTCTGGGTCTCCACATTTGAGAGCATATGAGGAGAGCTCAGAGTGACATGTGTGACCCATGAGGAAGAGGCAGGGTGGACCAATGGCTTAGAAACAAAACTATACATGTACTCTCTCATTTATAAATCTTAGATTTTTAAACTGAATTATATAAATACAATCACAATTGTGTTGGTTGTGTAGAAGTAAACTAGGAAAGGGAAGAAAACTAGTGGGGAAACAAAACATGGAACAAAGGGAAAGAGAGGGTAAGGGATGTGTCTTAGTTAGGGTTACTATTGTTATGATGAAACATCATGACCATAATCTATTTAAAGGATGGAACAATTAATTCTCCTTATACTTCCAGGTGTAGCAGTACACATAGCAGTCCATCACTGAGGACAGTTGGAGCAAGAACTCAAATATGACAGAGAACCAGAGGCAAGAGCTGGCCAGAAGCAATGGAGAAATACTGCTTACTTGTTCCTCACCCTTGCACCTTTCTCAGTTCTATTTGCTATAGAACTCAGATCCAAGACTGATAGCCCCACCCACAATAGGCTGAGTCCTAAGTCAGTACATAAGAAAATACCCTAAAAGCTTGCTCACAGCCTAGTTTTATGGAGGCATTTTTTTATTGAGGTTATTCCTATTCAGATGACTCTACCTTGTGCAAATTTGACATTAAAAACTAATCATGGCAGGGTATAAATATAGTTTATATATAATAATGTTGAAGGGAGATGCTTTTATGAAACTAAAGACTATGTGTAATGTGTATATGTCAATACAGTTAATTTTTCCAGCAAGATCAAGAAATAAGGAACAGAGTTGGTAGGTAAACAGCCTCTGAGGCTCTGCTGCTGCTTTTGTGTGTTCTGTCCATATCGGAATTAAATGAAAACTGTGGGATTTAAAAAGATGAATGTGCTTCAGTTTCATTGTTTACTTATTTAGTGTCAACCAAAAATTTGATGTAAAAGTTCCTACATAACTTGAGAGTACTTTTACATAACATAACACATCATGATTACTCTAAGTACCTGTTATTTTACAAAAGGACTCAGACACAAATGAATTCTATACTTCTGTAATTTTTTTATCATTAATGTTTAAAATTCAATAAAGAAAAATGATGTCACTATTGGAATTTAAAGATTGTCTATTTGAAGAAAATGAATGCATAATATGAAATGAACATTCTTAAACTATTTCCAAACTTTCTGCAAATGAACATAGACATAAAAATGAGAACATTGCATGTCAAGTCACAGTTAAAATCGTGCTTTCAAGATAGGCAAAAGTAGTGAAAAAATAATTGTTTAAATTTCACTCAAAGATTAAAGGACATATTATCCCATGAAATCTCTCCTGGGCTCCCAAGTCTAGTTGACTAAGGCAAGGCTCACTGATTTTCAGACAAAAAGGGGAGTATTTGGATAGCAGACCGTGTAGAGGGAGAAAAGTTGCTGATTCAGAAAAGTAGCTGATTCAGGCTGACAGGCTGAACTCTAAATTGTGTGTGTATTACAGGCTGAGTCACAGGAGGAGACTACAAACACTGTTCACAGTATTAAATTCTCATATTTTCAGTCTGAATATACATAGTGGTAAGAGTAACTGTTCAAGATCCACTGTCTCTGGAATAGTCAAGATTCCTGTGATATATACAGATGAACAAATGATTAACCTATTTCTGCTTTTGTTAGCATCAGGCTGAATAGCTACACATAGTGAGAACTATGTGTAGATATCATTGAACTTGTAGCTGATGGTGAACCTCTGTGCTGTAGATATAGCTAGAGAGGCATTTCAGTTCAACAACCTCTCAATTCTTCTCCAGTAGCCCCAACACCCTTGCAGAAATCTACAGTTCATAGCTTCTTCTAGAGCTAACTTCTAGAAATATTATTAGTTCCAAGCTCTGTCAGAGTGTGTTTTATGGTGTGTACACATCAAAAGTATATCTAGAGTTTCGCTATATAAATATGTGTGAGTGTGTGTAAATTATAATTACTTCCAACCTAATGATATTTCATTAGCATAATGGCTGGTGATAGTAAGGCATGTGGTGAGAACTGCTTCAGATGGCATTAATACTCCTCATCCTAAGCTATTTCTCCAATACTATTATTGTTCTTAACTTGCCACATATCTTGTTTTTAATAATCATACCTCTGCCCTGATTAGTGATCAGTGCATATAATCTGAGTGTTTGCGAGGCTGATGCAAGAGAAACAAGTTTGCCAGCAACTCATGATAAATAGTTTATGCTATTCAAAGCACAGTTAGACACCATCTAGAAATATATATATATATATATTTCTGTCTTTTCTTATATAGAATTTTATTAACATCAACATAGGCTATCATCTAAATGAAGTTAACAACTTAATTTCCCCTTCCTAACATTGATTCTTATCATTCTTCAATGAATTCAAAACTCCTTATATACATGAGAGAGTCGATAGTACTATTGTCAGACAAAAATACCAAGTGATAGAAAAGAAGATTAAAATTAACTCAGTTGGTTGGTGATGCAACAATAATAATGTGATAGGAATGCCTTCTTGATTGTGTGATTGTGAATGGTAGGAGGTCTGAAATGCATAGGGCCTTCAAATGTTCATCATTGTGGAAGATGATAAAATAGCCTTTGCATGGAGACCAATATAGGACTGAGACTGCCTGAAGTCTCAGTGTGAAATCTCTCAGTGTGAGGTAAATGAGCCATGCAATGAGAGCTGGTGGGATAGAAGTCACAATGAGTTCATGATTTTGCAGAATATATTTTAGTCAATGTTGTGTTGATACACAAAAAATGAACAGACTGTCATCATTCTGCTCCAGATGATCTTTTAAGATGTTTACCTCATCCATATCTGAAATAAAAACAATAATGTTAATTGTAATGCCTGGAACTAAAAATTGGTTCCAGAGTCTATGCATAATAAGTTTTTAGCACATAAGGGAGAAACCATCATTATTTTGATTGTTTGTTCTTTTTTTTCTTTTTTGAATGAGCATGGCATCAAACTGCTTTCTAAAGCCTTGTATTTAAACCCATCGAATGACACTATTCTTAGCAATCATCCTATAAGCCTCTCTCTGCTGTAGATATTGGTAAAGGCAAAAGTACACAATTGGTCAAAGTGTAGAGAATATTTGATTATGGAGTGGTCTTCCCTAAAGAAGATGTCTCCCTCCTCTAGATCAGAGGTCATCATGGAAGAAGAGAAAGAAAGAACATAACATACAGATGTTGTGGGGAGTGCTGTGAAATAGAGTCTTCTGGACATAACATGGCTATTGCACCTATGAGAAAACTGCAGCAACATTGACTTGCACAAGATTTGACTCTACACCATACATGTATCCTACGCTTCCTGGAAAGTCTGTGGGTAACTAATGAGTGCCTGGAGTTAGAATGGGTAACTCCCATATGTGGTATAATAATTTTCCAGAAAGTAATCAACACTCATGAAGCAATCATAATTAAACTCTGAGCACAAAAGAAAAAATAGCAAATTAGAATAGGATATATTAAAAAGGATTCACCAAGAAGACTGGAAAGGAAAACAGAAAGTAAGAGGGGCTAAATGCTCAAAACTCAGTATATACATAGATGAAAATACCAAATAAGATTTTAAATACAAGTTCTGAGCCATATTCAGTTGTACATATATAACTGCAAAAAAATCACCATTTGGTAACTTACAATAATGTTGTGCATAAAAAGAACATTCAGTTTTCTGACCCAAAGTTTTCTTACCCAGGATTCACACTGTCACTGAGG